TTTACAGGATGGCCATTAACGTAATACTTAATAAGTGAGGTTATAGTCATTTTTGAGTATAATACTACAGTGTGGGGGTACGATGATAGTTGCATCACTGTGTAAGGCCGACCGACGATGTTTTATTCTAACCACGCCTTTGCACGGCATAGATATTTATATCTTACAATAAATGATAGGATTGCTGACCTTTCTTGCGTTTTGACAGGATGACGTGACAGATTAAGTTCATTTGAAGAGATGGTGTCAGACACACGGACTTACACTGACAAGTTTTAATAAAAATACAATAATTCGCGTTTATTTAAGCAACAAACACTCTTAAAGTGCGACTATGTAGTTGCGAGAGAGCGAAAATATGTGGCGAAAACAGGCGAGATGCGATAAATTTCAAACCCTGTCAGATAAGTGCGAGAACCAGAAATGCGCTCTCGTCAGCGAGATTTCTCGCTTCTCTCTTGTGCATGGTTTTCTTTTGCGAGAACTATATTGCTCGCAACCTCTCTCTCGCTACTACATTAGCGTCTACATAGGCGCACTCTCACAATGAATTAATAATGAGGATCTTTCCACGGAAAGAGACACCTAGAAGATGAGATGATGTCGATGCCTTTCTATGAGGATAGAGATTATGTCCACGATGATGAGAGGAATGAAGTTGGTGAGGAGAAAGAGATATTCGTGTGCTTTGTCTGTGATTTTCAGAAGAAGAGAGCAGGGACAGGGACGAGCCTTATTGTTAATGAAAAAAGAGGCAGCTCCCTCGAGTTACAAATCAATTTAATTTACACTCATAATAATCTAACGTGAGTTCGTAAGCCGTTTCTGCTCTTCAATCAGGGAGAAAGTTTCCTGCTTTTCGACATAATGTTATTAAGAAGCAAATAATGTTTCTGTTGTTCATCAATAAATCTATGCACATTGCAATTTATTTTGAGATCCTGGCTACACAAAGGCTATCTTTTTTATATAAGCACTCATGTAAAATCCCAAGGTTATACAGTAAAAACTTTCTATGGAAGTAAAAATAAGTGTGACTGACAACTAATTCTTCCAAGCTACAAAGGTTAGCTTTTGTTTACACAAATACTGTTTTCGATGAAAAATGATGCACCATATTAGAACTGATAAAATTCTTAGTATACAGTTTAAATAATTGCATGTGTAGCACAATTATTATAGAATTATCCAATCCCATCGTCTTATCTTATCTAAACTAGGATCATTTGGTATAGTGAAATGCAATATTTTCGATGAGCTGATTACATATGCGTAACCGACAAATATAAATAAGTATGTTTGTTTGTTCGATAAGCACTCCTACGTCGTTTGACCAATTGCTACGTAACTCAGCATTTATGTAAAAATTCTATCAACTTACATAATGTAGTATATTTTATTCCAAGATATCGATTGGATTTCTAAATATCAATTAATTCATAATTTACAAAAAAAAATAATGATCAAACAATCTATTTTGTGTCAATTAAAATCTTCTATCCTTTGTTTAAATCCCAGCCAGAGACAGAAGGTAAACAATAATCCCACATTAGAATTGACTGATATTATGACATAAAAATATATTCTTTATACATTGATGCCCACCTTTTCTTGTAAGATCAGACACGAGCTAAATAATCTTTGGCAGTAACAGTTATTAAATTATAAAATATTAAAAAGTTATATATAAAAATATTATTATTATAATAATTTTTCTTTTACTAAATTTTTTTCAATTTATATCTTTTAAAAAATTTTCATATAGAAAGTTTATAAAAATTTTCTTCAGATTTTTCAAATAAAAATATCTGATAATACTATATATTAAAACAACAATAAGTGAAATACGCTAATTCTATTTTAAAAATAATAACAGTTATATATTTTGTTTACATGTTTTTAAATAATGTTTATATGAAATAACCACAGAAAATTATAAATATTATAGTGATTTCAATGGATCACTATCAAAATTTGTATTAGAAAGGTATTTTGTTCGGTATTCTTTGTAATAACCATCAGAGCAGTCTTGCACACAAAAATCTTCCTGAAGGTAATATGATTTTATACAAAATAAACGATTATCAGAATTTGGACCAAAGCAATTTAAACATGAAAAGTTGCAAGGAGAACAAATATTATATGTTTTATTTTCAAATTTACCATCACGAAATTCTTCTACACATTTTCCAGATTCTGGATCAAAAAACTTTTTTCCACTTTTTTCATCTTTAGTCTTACAAGGATTCTTGCTATTTTCTGATGTCTCTCTTATAAGAGGATTAAAACGATAAGGGTGGTTACTTCTCAACAAGTAACCACCCTTTCTCAATAGGTGGTGGAGTTTCAGTTCCATACAAAATAAGAGACCATTTCTGTAATTTTCCTGGACCGTAGGAACGTGATCGATGTGATTCCGTATTTATGATAAGGGTCCATTTTCCTTTAGCAGGTTCACCCAAAAAATGCACAGATAATAAGGGCCAATTATTAAGAGAACCATCTTCAGTATCTCTTGGTCTTGGTAAAAGTACACTAGATAATGTTCCAGAAGGTAACCCATGTAATAAATTTCTATCTTTTATACTTTTTATTTCTTTCTCTTTCGGATAATTTTAAATTAGAGTAGAAAAAATTAACGATTCCATAATCCACGAAATTTAAACATGCAAAATCTAATTGTTTTGTGAGAATTCTGAGTATGATTGCAAAAAGTGTATATTTTAAAATATAAATATATTTCCAATTATAACCCAGTTTTACCTAAAATAATAAAAGACTAATACTACAACTTTTCTCAACATTTTTTTCTCTATTCTCAAAATTAAGTTCTTTGTCGTTTCATAATAATAATATAGATTTTTTAATAATAAAATTTCACAATAGATGGTGAAGACATTATTTATTAACCCACGTGAGAGCGCGCAAAAAATTTTTGCAGCGAGAAGCGCGTGGGGTGCTATAACACCCCAGACGCCTAAGTAATCACTATTTTAAAACTAATAATTTTTTGAGATTTTTTTGCATGTTTTTGGGCATGTGTTCTTTATGTACTAATCAACAAAACTACTTCAAATATATCGTTTTTATTTTTTACTAACGAAAAACTGAAAGTATCCCGTTTCTAGGAAATTTTCAAAAAAAAAAAATTGTCAACTTCAAAAGTCTATTTTACAAACTGTAAACAAGTCTGGTGCTATCTAAGCGCTCAATCGTCTTCCTGCATGTGTTTTGTAACTACCAGAACAATAAATTCTTTGTCCGAATCCCCGGGCCAAAAATATCTCAGAATTTCCAAAAATACACCATCTAAAATCATACAGCAACTAGGAGGAAAAGTGGAGATTATTGGCAGATAACATCGATAGTAAACTTCTATTACACTGTAATTGGTTAACTTATATGTCTGTTATTAGATTGACTTATAAAAACAATTGCTGGAAATATTCCCGCGAAATGCCACGCCCCTGAACGCCACCACATGGAAGTATGTAAACAATCGCTATAAAATCGCGTGTTTTAATTTTTTTTTCCACTTCTAATTTGCTAATAATAAGTCGCTTGACAGTATTTAGACAAATAAACATGTTTTCAACACCATTTAGCAATAAATATCGCCAAAAAACGCCAGCATTCAAACTGTCAATGTTAAGTCTATGGGAAACCTTTTTTGCCGTTTATTGGCTTTAAAAAATCCTGTTTTTACGTCTTTTATGCTCTAATTGGTCATTTCTATCATGACTGACTCTATATCAACCAATAAGCTTTCCCTCAAAACACGAAGTCAGATCGGCCCTCCTCAGTTAGTCGCGCTAATAAGAGTTACTTCGTTAGGAGCGCGGAAAACTATAGCACCCCAGTAATTTTCATTGTGGATCTACGTAAAAATTTTTTTTCATGTGATTTTGCAATTTTTTCGGTGCGATCTTCACACCGTCGAAGGAATGTACTGAGGGCATCATTTTTCAGCACTAAAACCATTAAAAAATACACGCGTTCAAACACCTCGGGGGGGTTCTATATCACCCCGTGCGTCTAATTAACCATATAGGTTTCAAGAGTAAGTTTCAAAGTTTTGGTCTGTTAAATATTTGCTGTTACGTATATTGGTTGAATAAAATTAATAAAATTATGCAATCGAGTTAGTCACAGACAATAAGACTGGTGGCATTAGAGTATTCTAATTATGACGTATTAAAACCTGAAAAAGTTCACTTTACATTAGAATAAATACGATATATTTTTAATTCGATGTCTATAATAGGCATGTGATGTGAAATTGTTTATCAATTTGAGTTGATATGTAGAAATCTGCCTCTCTACATGCCAACTCGTTTCGTTGACAGGACTGTGCCGCTAGAGCTTGCCTTTACTTGAATCATAGGCTAATTTGTACTAGTAATATTTTAAATGGTTGTGTTATAGGTTCGAGCATCAGTAATACTTTTGCTAAATTTGAACTCACGAAAGTTATGTAATGGGACGATAATGATAGTTTATCTTTGTTTTGTAAGCACGAAAATTTAAAGAAAATTATTTTTATTATAAATGCACGGTTTAGTTACTAAGACAATTGTTTTTATCACATTCTCTTAATTCCACATCCCAAAATCTCGAGCAATGTTGAACAGACATCGCTAGTCAATATTATAAAAGCCGTTGTCCGTGTGTCTGTGAGTGTATGTTTGAATTCCTTACAACATCTTTAATTTTTGTGGAATCGATATGAAATTTTGGTTACATTTTTTATGTTTTGAAGAAAAGTATAGGCTACTTAATTTGAACAAACATTAGCTACTTTTCTTGAATTTCTATAGAACTACTCATCTCAATTCTTCAATCTCTATTTTCTCATAGAATGTAATTTGTCATGTAAAATGGGAAATTTCTAGTTTATATCTAAAAATAAATTTTAACAGTAGTATATAGGATATAGTTGTCTCAAAATAATAGAACTAATTCTACATAAATAATTAATGATTTTATTTATTATTAAAGCTTCATCCACATACAAATACGATTCGTGCCTGTTTTGTTAATTTTTTCGTTACACACAGTAGCACGTTATAGCAAATTTATGAGGCCTATATGAATCCTTTTGTAATAATTCAAACCAAGTAAACTTGTTTTGAAAACTGGATTTCAGCCCTAGCGAGAGTTGGTTTTCGTCTGTAGATTGCCCTTTTACTTAACTCTACACACCTGTAAATGAAACGCCATTATATAAGTTTAAGTTAACACTGTTAGAAAAAATATGGTGTTATTTCTTCAATATGAATTAAGTACACGTATCGAAACTTAAATATAATACATTAATTTAATATTAAAACTTAAATGCTTTAATTATACTTGTACATTTATCAATTAACTCTTTAATTTTTTTTTTCAGTTTCTTCAAGTTATGAGTCTTTAATACAATTAAAAGTTTAGCATCAGCATGATAATCCTGTATCTAATCCTCATTAACAATAGTTACAAGGTAAATGATTGTTATGTACAAAAGTTTTAAAAATTTTTTATACGATAACAGAACATTAAACAAAAATGAAAATGGAAACTTTCATCCCATTTATGGTTGTATTTTTTTCGGTACCAAATGTCCGTTCGAATTTCTGGAATGTAAATTCTTCTATTCTTCGGTTTGATAAGTTTCAGAATAAGGAAAACATTTCAGTAAAAACAAACATTTCGAATAGAAATGTTTGTCTTTACTGAAAATGTCACTCCCTGTTTAATGTTCGCTTTATACTTTTTTGGATTGGATACATCGTAAGGATATTGTCCGCAAACCATTACGTAAAGAATGATACCCATGCTCCATAAGTCTGACATAAAAGGTTGATAAGGTTTCTTGCTTAAAATTTCGGGACTGGCGTATGCTATACTGCCGCAAAATGTTTTGGACCTAAATATTTCTTTATCTTTTATGGCTTTTGGATTAGGTATATCGTGACGAGCAAATCCAAAATCTGTTATTTTGAGTACGAAGAATTTGCATATTAAAAGATTTTCGCATTTTAAGTCCCTATGGGCAATTCTCTAAAAATAAACGTGTAAGGAAAAGTTTAACATTTCTAATTTTTTACATTTTATTAGTTAAGATATAATATGACATTTTGTTAATGCAAAAGCAAAATGTATATTTTATAAAGAATAGNCTCATGTATTTAATCATTCATATAACGTAACATTCGCTTAGCGTGGAACGTATCTAAGCGTTATAGGGGGGGTCTACTGTATATACATTTTAATGTAATGTGGACTTTCGTATTATTATACAGAAATCGCTCATTTACGCGGTGTTTTCGTGGAAACAATTACTCGCGTAAATGAAAGGATTACTGTATTCTACTAAATTATGTAATTTACAAAATTACCATATTGTGGCAGTTGGCGATGCTATCTACTGAATGATGAAACCAACGGCAGGCTCTCTCTTCTTCTGTCGTTTTATTTCTCTTAATCATTTCTAACAAGTCTCCATGGTGCGCTCATTCGATGATTATATATAAGCTAAATATAATAGAAAATCAATAAATACAAAAAAATCTATTTTTTTGTGATAACTCAGGATATATTTTTTTCCTTCTTAATTGAAGTTTTTAGACTATTTACAAAAAATTAAATTTTTCGAGTCTATCTTTTAAATCCCTTATACACCACCACAGAAGTAACAGTTTTAAAAAATTACTTTTGAAGAAAACTTCTAATGAAGAAAACACTTCTAAAACAGGTAAAAATTGGTAGAAAAGTACACAGAGTTAAAAAAACTCAAGTGCCAGCCTATTCTTTTAGGTTCTGACACTTTTTACATTAAAACCATAATGAATTCTTCATACAATATTATTTTATCCACTTTTAGACTGCTTCTGGCCCTCTAGTGGTAGTTACGAGATTTTTTTGTTACAAAAAAATTTAATTTTTTGTAGTCTAAAAACTTCAATTAAGAAGGACAAAAAATCTATTTCAGTTATCATTTATATTTTGACACAGTTTAATTTTATAATTATAATGGAAAGTTTTTATAATTTTAAATTAAAAATTAATTTAAAATTATAAAAACTTTCCATTATAATTAAATTAAAAATTAATTAATATATATTAGATTGTTTTAATTGTTTCTCAAAATGTTCAAAATGTTGTAAGACTTGAATTAGTCAAAACTGTGAAATCCTGGGCTATAAGTTGTTAAATTGAAATGTTAGTAATTGTAAATTTCTTAAAATAAAGCACAAAAATTTGCTAAAACATGAAAAGGAAATAAGATTTGGCTGATAACACTTTCTTTCGACTCACTTTTTTTTCATCTTTTCTTTGGGTGAATCGCTTCTTCTGGAAGAGAATTACAGAAGAAACGACTCACCAAAAGAAAAGAGAAGAAAATGAATTAGAGAAGGAGGAAATTGTCATCTGATATTGCCTTCTTTGGAGATCCCTCCACACGGGAAACGGTGATAAAGTATAAAATAACCAACAAAAAGCTCAAGACAATCGTCGTTTAATTTAGCAGAAATCCCTCTATCTAGTCCTGTCTGTGACTTACTTCCAACCAATGCAGCCGTTGCCCAAATTAAGTATAATAGACATGAGATGATTGTGACCATAAATAATGTTACAAAGAATTGTCAGAAAAATAAATAGATATTGTGAGGACTAGAAATTTTGTGTTTTAAACTAAAAAAATTTTTTTTATAAACTTTATAAAGACGGAGCGAGAAAACAGAAAATTAAAAGAGAAAAAGGAAAAATAAAATCAATAAAAACTTCGATTCCCACGATTGGGTTCCTTGTTGAGATGAGTACATTTCTGTTTCACGATTGTGTCACCCGTCCCCTCATTGGACCAAGATTGTCATCGCTGACGAAATCGGAGAAAGGTTCGAGAATGAGGACGTGATATAAAAGGGGACAGGCAGGATGATAAGTGTAGAAGTTATTATTGGTGTCTGTGTGTGCGCTCCGAACGTCTACCTTCTGCCGAGATTCTGTCAACCAACACCTCCTTCTCGCCTACAAGACTAGAAGTGAACTAAACTGACCTCAATACATATTCAACTGGAAGGAACTATTGAACGTTTTTTGTATTGGACTTGATCTCCTATACTACTTAAGGTTTTTATCCTGCCCGCGCACTATTGTACGCTCTCTCTCCGCGTAAACTAAACGCGAAATCAGTTGTAACTAGAACTAGAAAATGATTGATGAAACTAGAAGTAGAACTAGAACTATTTTATTTACTAATGTAAACCTACGTTAAACATATATAAATAAACGGTTGTTTATGTTAAAACTTCTCGAGTGCAGTTTCTTCCGTTTTTCTCTCCATTCTCTCCATTCCGGGTCAAACCCTTATACCTATCCGCTCGCGCTAACTTGTGGACTCTGTATCGACCGAAGGATACAGTGGTGTCATCCTGACGGGGTATCGAAGAGATACCGACCTTATGGTCACAATATCCTTTCCCTTTCTAGCACACCCAAGCCGTCCTGCGATCACTAAATCACAGGATCCGTATTTAGCTCGACCTGCGTTAAAACTAAACTCTCTCTCCAGCGGATGTTCCCCATACATAAATCTTATGATGTCATATTTATAGCGCGTGTATCTCTGGCTTACGTGAAATTAAAAATGTTATTTTTTTTTACTGATAATTCAGTACTTGAGTGTTTTTAGGGCCTCACTGTCTTTAAATTTTCCTACTTTATTTTTTACATCGTAAAAGTCCTACTTACATGATCGCTCGCGCGATTTGAAGGTTCCTGCAAGCTTAAAGTCACAGGTAGTGTCAGACCTAATCCTAGAGGAGCGCAGCCGTCCTGATCGCAAAACAGTAATCCGATAGTGCTGCTTGAGGAACGTAAAAGTATAAATTGCATGCAATGAAGAAGATGAATGAGACAATAGAATCGGTGAACCATTAATTCTTATAACAAAATAACACATGTCTACATGATTTTCGGGAACTGATACCTCAGTGATTTTTTATATGGTATTTTTCATGTTAAAACGGTAGTGTGGAAAATTCGCATTTTTCATCAACTTTTAATGGTACATAACAAAAATGTGTGGGTGATGGAGAAAAAGATTCAGCGATCGAAAAAAATAAAATAAAATAAAATTCACTTATTACTGTTTCTGTTCCGAAATTCTTTTTTCAATTTGTAGAGTAGTGTAATTAAACAGTTTATGGCTATACTTTCATGGCATAATTTATTTGTTTTTATTTTTTTTACTCGATACGATCAAGTCCTGAGATTGGTTAGAGATATCGAGCAGATGGTGCCATGTGTAGAAGCAATGCCGAAGATTTTTTTGAAAATTTCTAGAAATATTTCTATAATACAGAAACCTAGCTGAAAAATTTTTAGAGGAAAGCAATTTTTTTTAATTTTTAAATTGGTCGAAATATATAAATACAAGAAAAAACCCACATTTATGAATTTCATGACATTTCAAGGTCTTCCGAGTCCAAAATAGTTAAAAATCTGGGGAGGTCCTGTTTTAACTGAACGCAATACTTTTCCTCTGTTATAATACAACCGGGATGTAACTAAATACAATAATATTTTCGAAATTCC